CGTGTTTCTGCATGGGGCTTGGGTGTTGTCTCTACAATCGAAGTATGAGAAGCATTGATGCAGTATGTAACTTTTTCTCATTCTGCACAACACCCAACTGTTTTAAGCTATTGCAGTGTCTATTTTTTGAGCTTTCTTCTACTGTGGCTCATTCGTTGAATGATGACACCAACACCACTGTCCCTCATGGGAGGATAAAAAGATGTACTCCGGCTCATTCGTTGAATGATGACACCAACACCACTGTCCCTCATGGGAGGATAAAAAGATGTACTCCAAGGAGGGTCCAAAAAAGTCAAACATTCACTCTAACATCCTCTACTGAGCTGTGAGGTACTAGCTAGCTTATTTAACAAGGAATTCAGATGTTCAGGCATGACATCCAGATTTGGTTCAAGTTACTAGTTGTTTCCCAATGCAAAGGATAAAAAGGGATTTTGGGGTTACTTTATCAACCTTATCGATTTATCATTTCAGTCATTTTGAAATAAGAAAGAAGTAAATTTAAACGCTGTATTTCAAAACCTTAAAAGATATTCTTAATGATACATTCTTAGGCCTTTCTTAACGATGTATACAGTAACTTGTTCCCCTCTCCTAAAACTTACAAAGTTTTACTAACACTGACCCTGAATTTCAGTTAAAGCTGATACTACATGATGTCAGAACTCCCAATGATTTCAGGCCAGTGGGAAAAAAAAATCGGTCATTTTAAGAGAAGTAAGATATTCCAGCAGGTTCTTGACTATTGTTTGCTTTTCAAATGCTCTTCTGACACTGGTTGATAATCATCATTTACAAGACCCAAGTTTGTTCTAGCCTAACAGAAATTTAAAGAAAATGGTATTGACACCAAAAGTTTAGGTTATTTTCCCAAACATAACAAAGAGAAAACCAAATAAAGTAAAAGAGACTTATAAATGTTTGCTTTGCTTAATAGAAATTCTCCATTGGTCTGAGAGATGATGCTGAGTGGAAATTAGGGCAGGATTTGGGCTGCAAGTAAAGACTAAGGCAAGACGCGGGGGCTTGGGGAAAATTCTAACTCCTCATGGTTTGAATCTTCGTAATTCTGTAACAGTGCCAAACGATACTAGAAACTGGGCCCCCTAGTGGATTGACAGGGTTAATGATTTCAACACTGGGAGGTAGGAAACTAAGTAGAAGAATGGGCTTTATCTTATTCAATCATTGATAGAGCACTTACCATACACCAAGCTGGGCAGGTTGTAAATATGAATTCACCTAATTAGCACAATACCCAATGAAGGAGGTACTATTATCCAAATTTTATAGACAGAGAAGCAGGCGTAGAGTGGTTAGGTAACTTGCCCAAGGTCACATAGCTGGTCAGGGGCGAACTGCAGCAGACAGCTCGAGTATGAGGTCTGAATCACCTACCACACCATGTCACTGGTGAGGTTGGCTCATCAGAAGCTTAGTCCCAGAAGAATTTATTTAAACATCTAGCAATGTTCCACTTCTCCAGAGACTGGCCTCATGGTGATTTTAACCTTCCAGACTATAGCTGCAGCTCTGGATATAGTCCATCAAAACAGAAAACAATGAAAGCAAAGAGAACAGAAAAGGGAAGCCAAAGGGCCACGGGATAACACAGCTGTCGGCAAGTCCAGCCATTTGCTCCTCGGGAGACACCCTCTCTGAGAGCCAGTCCCACCCACTGACAGGCAGTTGGACCAAGTCTCTCTGCTTGTCCAGACCAGGCAGTTCAGAAGCACAGCACATCAGAAGGTAAAAGCAACAAAAAGCAAGATGAAATAGAAGAACTGATAGTTGCCGCTGAAGCAGAAGACAAAAATTTGTAAGACTCCACATAAATCCTCGAATTGGCCCAGGCCTACATAAAGTTGGAAGAAAGGCCTGATATGCATCGCAAATGCCCGTGAGCACCACTGACTAGACCAGAGAACCACAAAGCCTGGAGAGATCTCTTCTGGATCACAGATGATGAGGCCTGTGTCCAATTGCGTGCAACAGCTACACCTGGGGATGGACAAGGCTGAGCTCGCCACCATGTCACATCACCAGCACCCTGTGTGAAGGTGGCCTGTGAAAGGAGTGGCGAGAAGAACATTCAAATCCTGCCTGGAGGAAGCCGGGCTGGCAGAGGGTCAGGAAGCCCGGGCAAACTGCATCCTCCCTTGCACAACCGCGGTGGCTAAGTGTAACTGTGTGTCAGTGTGGTTTCAGCAGCCTGCGTTGATGAGTTTCTTTTCAAGTTCTGTGAAATTCTGTGTTGCATGGGCGTTTGCAAGGATGACGCTGATTGTGTCACATGTCCTCTCTGTGGGGTACTCCTTAGACCAAGACAACTCTGTCTGATCTTAGGACTAAGAACAGTTCCAGTCCTCCCGATCAACCGATTCATTGGTATCTTCAGGCACAGCAGCTGTGTAATGGACTTGCTCAGGTTTCTCTTTCAACTTTGGTTCCTAGGAAACTCAAACTCCCGGCCCTCGTGCAAGCAGGCATGCTGGCATCCTGGCATGACGTTTTCAGCTCATCCCAGGCTCCATTTTGTGTCTTCACCCTCTCCTTCCCTCTCTTCCCATTTATTCTGTCTTGTGTTTCAAACTTCTTTGAAGGCCACCTGATATCCTTTCTGGAATTAGGTCAGGGTAAATCCCTGAATGAATGAATGAATGAATGAATGAATGAATGAATGAATGAAACATCGATGGGGAAACTGAGCTTCGAGATCACCTAAGCAGCCATTTCTTAAAAAGCCAGGATCTAGGTCTCCTGGCTTTCAACTTAATGCCCTTGAAATAAATTGTATTAATAGTGGCAATTCTCAATCATTAAGACACTTTAGATTAGATTTAAAATACTATTTTTAAGAAGAAAGAAAAAGCTAGATGTTGGATAACAGACTTTTCTGGGTAAAGAACATACCAAGAAAAGTAATTGTTTTCGAGCAGTGGAACAAAAGGCAATCTTTAGCACTGGGTAAGCCCCGGAAGCACGTCAATAGATTTATTTTGATCCCCAGTGTATTTCATGGAATACTGATGACATGTCAAATCTGCATGCGAGGTTACAGTGACTACCCCAGAGAAACATTTCAAACAGTGATTTCTGGGAAGTCAAAAAAATTCTGTACTCAAAGTTGTCATCAGGAAGTTGATGTTTGAATTGCATGTCACATTTTATTAGAACGGTATTGTAGCCACGTATCAGAATAATATGTTTTCATCAGTCACTGAGGTATCACTTTGCTTTGAATGTTCTGAGGTACTTTAAAGAAAGAATAAAAAGAATGTCTAAGTATGACATTAAGTTCCAGAGGGGGAGAAATGAAATAGTAGACAATTTAAAAGGTGAATAGTTAAAAGTCCCATTTTGTAATTCGATTCATTCAGAAGACTGTGCCTTGGTGTTTTCACCCTTACCCATACTATCCTGGCATCTTAAAATGTCCTTTGTATTAGGCAACAATGTAAGTGCTACAGAACAAATTTCAAAAGGAAGAGATGTTACAAAAGACTTTTTAGATATTCAATAAATTGAGAGGCTGACTAATGTTTTTAGAGAATAAATTAGGAAAAGTTCCCAGTTTCCAGAAACAGAATAGAGCTCAAAGATTTTTAATAAATTTCACTGCAAGCAAAATACAATCAATCATATTTGCAGAGACGGGAAGAAAAAGCAACTGCCAAGAAATAATCCATGATGTCAGAGCATCATGCGTGACCATAAAGTAGGGAAGCTGACTTTTAAACAGACATCTCAGAGCTCACAAATCCAAACGAGCACTGCCTGCAAAGTAGTCACTTTGAGAGGCTGAGACTTAATGTTTCAGAATCCTTCGGTTCGTACAAGCGGGGCCCTCAGCACTTTATTCTGAATATCCTCTGTGACAGCCAATCTTTACCTGTGAGGAGGATCTGGAGCTATATAGGTCAAAAAACGCAGCAGGAGTCTAAAAGCAAATGTGTGTGTGTGTGTGTTGGCATGTAGCCAGACACCAGTTCTGAAGATGACTGCCATGATGTTGCAAGCAATGGCCATATTCATGCCAAAGACCACAATTTCTCAGGACACCGGGTAACCCGACGATGACAGTTGGCGTATACCGAGCCGCCAGGGCGTGGCAGACTCTGCGCTGAGCACCTGCTGTGCTCTCTCCCGCTTAACCTTCAGAACTCAGAGTCAGGTGTTGTTATTACCTCCATTGTCTAAATGAAGAAACAGAGGCTCCGAAGTCCAGAAGTCACATGGTTAGAAGGTGACAAGGGCTGGGATTTGAACCCAGGAATGTCTGACACCGGACTTCATGCTCTCACGTCACAGTAGGTAAGGCCTCTTACAGCTCCAGCTGGGACCTGGGTGCATGCGCTCTACCAGGCACACTTGGGTTGGAATTTATTGAGATTGAGGGAGAGAGAGGGAAAGGGAGAGGGAGACAGGAAGGGAGGGAAAGAGAGAGAGATCACTGCTCCCAACAGTAGTTTCATTTTATTCCCAGGGGATTATGAAAGGAGAACACTGAGGGGCGAAAAGGAGGCAGGAAGTAGACAAACACCAATTTTCTAAAATTGGCTAATTTTCTCAGAGTAGGGTGGATCTCTCTGGGGCCAGGACAGGATGAGACAGAGAAAGCAGGATAGGATTTGGAGGTGTAAATGGATAAATACCCAAGAGGTCAACACCTAACTTCTGGCATGGTTGAAACACTTCTGAAACATTGCTAAATCTTCAACTGAGTGACTTAAAATTCAGAATGGTAATCATCAAAATTATTATGCAGAAGAGTATTTACATGAAAAGTGTTATATAAATAACTACTGACCTTCATAGTACAAGAATTCCTAAATGTTAACTATCAGTAATCTGGCCACAGGAATGTTAATAAACCCAGCTAGAGGAGATTTTTCTGTCAAATGTGTTCTCGTCATTTTCTAACTATATCTTTGGCCTTGGTCATAATTCATAGTGAATGTTAACTTTCTCAAGAGTTTCAAATAGAGAAAAATTACCTGGTGGTATTTCTTCAGGATGTTGTGCATTTCGGCCACATCTTCACTCGTGATGGTCTTGATGATGTATCTTTTGTCATAGGAAGTGTGGAATCGAGCCCCACTGCGCGCCTGGGAATCGTTGGGAAGGGGTGCGCTCCTGGTCAAGGAATTCTTCCGGTCGGGATAAGGTGGGGGGAGGAGGGAAAAGACCGGTTAGAGGCACGGCCTTCTGATTTCCAGATCATGTGTTGTCCTCACAAGTTTTCCAAACACATTTACGTTTGGAACAAACTGGTATAAGTAGGATGACAACATTATATATTCGTCATAACTCAAATTGCTAGTCCTTCAAATGAAATGAAAACAGACTGGATATATACTATGCTTCTAATGTCCTCAGAGTAGGCTAATGCCTAGAATTACAATCAAAGTTATTTTGTTCACCTTTTTCTTTTATGAGCTGGACAAGAGCTCAAATTTTCTTCTGAATCAAATTAGGTTCCAGTGATGAAAAAATTTTTTTTACATTCCCCGAGTGGTTTCCCTATAGGACAGGTATTCTGCCAAACAGCAAGCAGGAAATATTTCTCCTAATTCTGATACCACACCCATGAAGTGGTTACTATTAATATCATCATAGTTTTACAGATGAGGAGATGGGGACAAGAGAGAGTTGATCACTGGGCAAAGGTCCCACGACTAGTAAGGGGAAGCTCTGGAGTCACATCTCCGGTGTGGCTGGCTCAGAGCCCCAGTTATCAACTAGTAAGCCGCTCAAAACTACGCTGTCTGCCGCATGCCTTGAGAGGGGCCTGAGCAGCTGTATTCTAAACTAGCTCCTCACAAGACTCGGATTTGGTCCATCTTCCACCCCCCTTCAGCCATTTTTGAGAACAACTTAGCTCCTGGAGGGTGGACGAGGAGGGGCTCTGAGCAGGGGCTCTGGTAGCATCATTTCATTTCTAGTATCTGGCTCCCGCTATCGACACTCCAGGTAGGTAAGTCCACCCTAACATCTACCCTTTTCTCATTTGTGACTCTCCTGTTTGAATCTCTCATTTTCTTAGCCTCCAAGAAACCTCTCCCCCTTCCTCCCACGTTCTTACTCTGGTCACTCAGACTACTAGGATAACCTCCAGCATCTCAGAAGTCTGGACCTCACCCCTGATGCCTCTGTTCCTCAGTACTGACCTGCCTGCCCTGCCTGGCCCCAGTGGGTTGTGTAGGAGGGATTCAAAGGCAAAGACACCTTCCCTCTCCAACTTCCTCTCTAAATGTGGGACTGGGTTGGACAAGAGCTTAAATTTTCTTCTGAATCAAATTACGTTCAAAAGCCCCACTGAATGTCCACTAAAGGGGACACAGATGTCTTCAGAGAGGCAGGTGATTATCCCTGCATCATGGATTTTCAATGAAAGAGTTCCTTTCTGTCTGGTATAGTCAAGCCTCTTTATCCTTTCCTTCCTTTCTAGATGAAATCCGACAGGAAGAGCCCTATGAAGTACAACTATGTTGCAGGGGCAGTAACTCAGGGAGGTCCTTCTGGTGCTGAGGGAGGGGCCGGCGAGCGCATTCTTAGCTCCCAGGACGCACCCCGGCACGGCTATCGCCCACTGCCGCATCCCGCGACAGCGCATCTTGATCAGAGTGCTGCCAGGCGCACCTGTCAAGTGCAGGGTGAAAGCTGCCAGTGAACTGAATTTGCTTTCCTTAGGTTATTAGGAAACTGGGGAGAAGAAAAAAAATCGATATAACTTCCAATGAGGTTAAAGAGCAGGAATTGGCAGTGTTAAATTATTCTTGAGACAACTGAAATCCATTAGATAGACTGAGAAGGATGAAAATAATTTTCAGGACAGAAATGGCCATATTCGTGAGAGTCTAATTCTCCATGGCATTGGTTTTTTTTTTTTCCCCCTCAAAAAAATTCTCCTTTGCACTACTTCCTGCTAAGAAGAAAAAGGAAGAAAATCAAAGTGAATTTCCCCTCTTGGGGTTTTAAACACTAGCCAAAAACAAACAAACAAAAAAAACCAATCATTGCCATGGGCTAATGGTCTTACATTTCCCTCCCACACATTAACCTGCAAAAAATTATTCCAAATAACTTCTTTTTGGAAGGGGGCGGGGCACGTAATAAAGAATACCTGTGTTCAGCAAAGGACAGAATGACAGCAACATATTCATTAATATCAGATATTAAAGTCTAACATTCGATCACAGACCAACGGGAGAGAATAAAATTGAAAGCTGCACAGTAAGTGCTCTCAAACTTTAATGAGCCACCAAACCACCCTGGGGGATGACACTGAAATGTAGATTCTGACTCCGCAGGTGTGGGCGGGGGCATCTGAAGAAGCAGATGATGCTGATAGAGTCACGGTAGGTCTGTCTCCCAGGTGAGAATCAAGGGTCTGCTGAACTGTGGCTATGATGTGCTTTGTCTGTGCAGAGTGTGTCAAGTCCAGTGCATTAAGTATGTCATAATTACACACTTACGTGCATGAACACCTTTCCCACTATATTCTGTCTAGTTCTGGTTTGGTTAAAATGGGAAACTTTGGGCGCCTGGGTGGCTCAGTTGGTTAAGCAACTGCCTTCAGCTCAGGTCATGATCCTGGAGTCCCGGGATCGAGTCCCGCATCGGGCTCCCTGCTCTGCAGGGAGTCTGCTTCTTCCTCTGCCCTCTTCCCTCTCGTGCTCTCTGTCTCTCATTCTCTCTCTCACAAATAAATAAAATCTTAAAAAAAAAAATGGGAAACTTTATTTTATTTTTTTTAAGGATTTTATTTATTTATTTATTTATTTGAGAGAGCGATATAGAGAGGGAAGAGCAGAGGGAGAAAGATTCTGTGCTCAGCGCAGAGACCTCGAGATCATGACCCAAACAGAAACCAAGAGTTGGATGCTCAACTGACTGAGCCACACAGGTACCCCAAAATGGGAAGCTTTATAGGGAAAAAGAAGACTTTGTTGCATTCACTGTATTAATTCACTAGAGAAATGTTTAATAATGATAGGTACAAGGCAATGTATGGGTTTCCAAAGGGCTAGAAATGACTCATCAAATAAGTAGTGGCTCTTTAGCTCAGATGCTACATCCTTTCAAATTCTTTGTCTTCCCCTTTAGTTTCAAATATATTGATAATCATTTATTCTAGACTCTGCATTAGCATATTGTCCGTGTCTTAATCCTGGTTATAACACTTTACAAATTCTAATCTTGGTTCTGCCTCAACTCAGTTTTTCAATAATCACATGAGTAGACCCAACAGTGTCTATCTCCAGCGTGGGTAAGGATTTTTTTTAAGGCTCTTAGTTTTCAAATAATCGTGAAGTTTTGTGAAAATTAAGAAAGTTCCTTTATCACTATGAACATAAAAAGATATGAATCAAATTTACTGAAAGCCTTAGACAAGCAGAAGATCAGAAGAGTAAACGCTATTTTACACAAAATGCACAATCCTTGGAATGACCCTAAGGCCTGGAAAAATCCAACTCATTATTTCGTCTTTATTTTCACAACATTCCTCTGAGATAGGAAAGGCCAGGTGCATTTTCCCACTTGAAGATAACCAAACTGTGGAGTACAATGGAGTCAAGTAATATGCAGGCTCCTGCCGAAAGCTTCCTCTGAGGAAACCAAAAAGGGCAGTTTTCGAAGACTTAACTTTTGCCATTACTTAACATCACAATCATAGACTTTCTGTGGTCTTTGAAATAAGGTAGAAGTGTGTGTGTGTGTGTGTGTGTGTCTGTGTGTGTGTGTAGGCAGCAGGGCACATGGTCTGCCACTCTGCAACCCTTGGATTTAGCCTCTCTGAGCCTCAGTTTCTGTGTCTGTAAAGTGATGGAGAATAAACCAGGGCAGAGGGTGAGCTGAAGGAGAGCTCTACCACAGACCTTTTATAACTCTAAGAATGTGTTTACTCGGAGGCACAGCGCACGGCTCCAGGAACTGCAGAATCACCTCAGTCTGCTTCCCGACAGAAGTTCAGTCAGAAAGATACGACCATCACCTCGGCAGAGGCATCATGATGGTTTAGGATATCTGGGCCATGGTTAAAAAGAAGATGGCAATAGTTCTTAGGGCAGCATGAAAATAACACTTTATAGATTCCAGATATTCTCAGGACAATTTCGGCAGGACAGAGAAAATGAGCTGAGGGAAGGATGTCGGGGCCATGTATTGAAAGGAGTTACCAAGTGGCCTCCATACAGTCTGCTATGTAGCAAAACTGAATACTGAAATTCTTCAGTGTGCTCTGCTCTGTCACAAAGGAAAAATGAACCATAGTATCATACAGGACAGTTGGCGAGTTTCGGAGTTCAGGAGGAGGAAGGCTTGAGAAAAGCAGAGCTTGGGAGGGATCTTCGGGAGCCCCAAAAGGGTCCCTCTATGTGTAAATAATGCTCATAATCCAAGAGCATGACAGTTGAAAGCAACCTTGGAGATTATTCCAAACCATTCAATTTAAAGGTAATAAAACAGAATCCCAGAGAATGGAAATGACTTGCTTGCCTCAGTGCTTGAATACCTGGGTGGGACAATGTTCGTGGAGGGCCTTGCAGGGGTGTCACCCAGAGCAGGCAGCCTCCATCCTTCCCGCCATTCCTGCCTCCCTCCTGGGCTCAAGAGTCTGGTGGGCATTAGCGATGGGACAGCTGATACAGTCTTCTGTGGTGACAAACACCTTCTAATCACAATTTAGAGCCTGAGTGAACTTGGCACAAAACCAAAACTGTCTTTATGTTTTCACTCTTGCCAAGTAAAAATAAATCATCAGTAACAGTTTCAATGTTAATGCAGCCCAAAGTCCTCTTTTTTTTTTACACTTTTATTAACATGTGTACAAATCCATTCTGACTCATTCTCGGACTGTTCATTACTTGACTTGAGGCAGGTAGGATTAGGAGCTGTCTTCTCTCAAGGCCAGAGCTGAGCCTGATGTATGTTTGTGGAACAAGGCTTCAGGACAGGGAAAGTATGTGTGGTTGAGGGCTGGGCTTAGAGTCAGACAATCTGTCTGGCACAGACAGGGCTGAGAGCTGCCTAGCACTTTATTCTTCTGACAGTCCTGTGCACGGGGTGATGGTGTCAATCCTAAGAATTCTTCACATTTCTGACCATGTGGCATAGTACGTTGTGTCCGTTTTAATTAGTTCACATG